CCATGCCTGGCTAATTTTTGATTTATTGTAGAGATGAGGTCTCACCAAGTTGCTCAGGCTGGTCTCGAACCCGTGGGCTCAGGCAATCCACTCACCTCAACCTCCCAAAGGCGCGGTATTACAGGCTGAGCCACCAAGCCCAGCAAGTTAGGGTTTTTGTGGCCTTACTTTTCTAGCTTCCTTAGATGATTTCTTAGGCTCTTAACTTGCGATCTTTCCATTTTTTTCACGTGTGTTCATAGAGATATGAATTTCCCTCTTAGGACTGATTTCATGGCATCCCAGAGATTTTGGTAAGATGTTTCTTCATTTTCATTTGTTCCCAAGTATTTTTTAATCTCTTTTGATTTCCATGTTGACCCAGGAGTTGTTTAGTATCATAGTGTTTAGTGTTCGTGTCTTTGTGGGTTTTGGGAGAACATTGTTGGTGTTGATATTTATTTTTATTCACTGTGGTCTGAGATGGTGCATGGCAGAATTTCAGTCTTATGGAATTTGTTTATGCTTGATTTATGACCAAGAATGTGGTCGATCTCAGAGTAAGTTCCATGTGGTGATGAGTAGAATGTATATCCCATGGTTGTTGAGTGGACTGTTCTGTAGATAACAATTAAGTCCATTTGGTCAAGCTCCATGTTGAGGTTCCGGATCTCTTTGTTGACTCTTTGTCTTGATGATCTGTCTAGGGTTGTTAGTGGAGTGTTTAAGTCCCCAGCTATGATAATGTTAGAGTCTATGTCTTTTTTTAGTTTACCTTGAAGCTGCTTTATGAAAGTTGGCACTCCTATGTTGGGTGCATGTATGTTTAGATATTTCTTGTTGATGGATTGAACCTTTTATCATTATGCGGTGACCTTCCGTATTTTTTAAAATTTTTATAGCTTAAAAGGTATTTTGTCAGATATTAAGATCATTATTCTGGCTTTCTTTTGTGTTCTGTGTGCCTGAAATTTTGATTTCCATCCTCTTACTTTGAGTCCATGAGTGTTCTTTCTGGTGAGATGAGTCTCTTGGAGACAATATATTGTCACCTCATGATATTTTATCCAATTTGCCATTCTATGTCTTTTCAGTGGTGCATTTAGTCCTTTCACAAATTCAGGCTAATTATTGAGATGTGAGAGTTTATCCCTGTCATAAGGTTCTTATAAAGTTTGTTGTTGTTGCTGCAGTTTTCTTGTTTATTTGTTTTTTTGTCTTTCTTTTGATTTTTGGGTTGAGTTGTATGTGTTTTCAATCTTTTTCCTGCATTCTTGGGAAGGGCGTTGTCATTCTTTTTTTCCTTTCTTCTGTGTTTAATACTTTCTTAAGTGTTTCTTGTAGAGCTGGTCTGGAGGCAGCATAAACTCTTAGAGATTGAATATCTGGGAAAGATTTTAATTCTCTATCACTGGTGAAACCTAGCTTAGCTGGGTATGTCATTCTTGATAGAAATGGTTTGTCTTTGAGAACTTTGAAGATTGGGTTCCAAGCTGTCCTAGCCCAAAGTGTTTCTTTAGATAAGTCTGCTGCTATTCTAATTGATCTTCCCTGGTAGATAGTCTGACCTTTCTCTCTTTCTGCCTTTAGGATTTTTTCTTTTATACCTGCTTTGTGTAGGCGAATTACTGTGTGTCTAGGAATCTATCTTCTCATATGTTGTCTTCCAGGGGTTCTCTGAATCTTTTGTGTTTGAATGGTCACATCAATGATGAGATGAGGGAAGTTTTCTTGTATAATTTCGTGGAATGTTTGTTCCAGGGTGGTCTCTGTCTCTCTATCTGCCCAATTAATCTATGGTTCAGCCTCTTGGAATAATCGCTTATCTGTTGGAGGTTTTGTTCTGTATTTTTATGCTTCTTTTCTATGTTTTTAACAGTTTGGTCCTCAAGTTCTGAGATTCTTTCTTCTGCTTGTTTAATTCTGCTTTCCATGCTTATCAGTTTGTTATTTATTCATTCACTGCATTCTTTATTGCTGTTATCTCAGTTATCAACTCCTTCAATCTTTCCTCTTGTCTCTCCTCATTTCTGTTTATTCTTTCTATTAATATCTTGATATCTG